TTTTTTTTTAATATCTAGCCTAAAGACACAGGGATTTCCAAGGACTGGGGTTTTCTTTAGGTGACCGTTTGGCATCATATGCTGAGAGCTCCCGCACTGCCTCCTTTCCCCCCATGTGAGGGGTGAGTGGTGACATTACAAGAGCATAAGGGGCCTGGACACTAGAGAGGCTCACAGTGACCCAGCAAGGTCAGGGAGGCTTCTAGGGGACAAAAGGGCCTGACGACAAACTCACAAGCCATGGACACCAAGCAGTAGGTCATAGTTGTCAAAGATGGTGGCTGGGGGGCCCAGGAGAAGCAGCACCAAATAGATGAGCCCCAAAACAAAGATCATGGCCAACTTTCCGATGCTACTGATGTGCAGGAAGACAGAGCTGGCCAACAGACTCAGCAGCATGTTCCCGACGAAGTACTAGAGGCAATGGCAAAGTGGTGTTGGTGAAGGCAGAGGCCAAGGCACCCCAATGCAGAGAGAGCCCTATACTCCCCTGCCTGACCAAAACTCCCCTTCACAACCTCACACCCAAACCACCTTCACCCTCCACAGCCAGCCCCTACAGCACACCAGGACCCTTGGCTGCTCCTAGAGTTGGCGACTCTGGTGAGATCCTGGTGAGGTCCCCAGTGCCCATCACCAGGCCTGGCACAGAGGGGTCAATAACTGGTGTTGATCAGGATGCCCCCCCACCCCGCCTGAGCACTGCTTGGACACCTCGGGGAAGCTGCAGGTGGGTACGGTGCCCTCACACAGGGGAGCATCCAGGCCCAGAGAGTAATTGAGCTGCTGCAGGTGGCAGACAGTGATGTCAGCAGGTGTTAAATTCAGCATCCTGGCTGCGCAGGTCCGTATGGAGGTGTGGTTACAGGTGAACTGCAAAAGTAGGGGGAGGCATATCAGAGTAACCAAGGAGGGCAGGGGTTATGAGGACCATGCCCAGGTACTTTATACCCCAGAGGCCCAAGTTCTCAATAAGGGATGACAAGACGTGGGAGAACGGGCTTCAAGAGCAGGAAATGTGCCTTATTCCTCTGTACTCCAGTGCCCAGAGCAGTGCCTGGGCACAGGAGGGGTGGACCCTTACCATGTTAGCAATGGCGGAGGTGAACACAAGCAGGACTGAAAAGATGCCAACAGCGGTGCTGTGTGCCCGAGAGCGCACAATGCTACGTGATAGATGTTGCAGGCCCTTAGGGAACAGCTGTGGGTAGCAAGAGATGAGAGTCAGAGGCTGTATCAACCAGGAGTAAGGCCACCCACGGCGCAATAAGAGAGGCACAGCCTTCTTCTCCCTCTCCCCATGTGACCACCCCTGGCCCAGCCCGCCCTCCAGCACCAGCCCTGGAAAGCCCCCTACGCACGGAGCCACAGGAGTACACGGCACAGGTCAGCATGGTGATCAACAGCAGCAGAAAGATCCCGGTATAGATTCCAAGCATCAGTGTTGAGCTGGGGCAGAAGAGGGCCCAGGAAATCGTTAACTCTGGAAGATCTAGGTGTCCCTATCCCACTCCCCAGGACGGGTAGGGTGCAAGCTGCAGGGATGGTGGGCTCATGGGTGTTTAGGAAGGTTCTGGGAAGTGCTGAAGGGAAGGGAGGCTGAGTGAGGAAGGGCAGGGCTCTCACTGTGGGAAGACGAGGAGCTGGATGAAGCAGATGAAGCAGAAGACCAACAGGGCACAGGCCACGTAGGCTCCGAAGCGGGGATCCACCTTCCTTGAGTACTGAGGGAAAGGAGGCTGAGCTGGTGCTGGGCTCTGCCCTGGGGAGGCAGCACACTACCAGAGGCCTCAAGGGGGAGAGGCAGTTGGCCCAATTGATAGGAATCACCCCTGCACTCTGTGGTCACCTTCCCATTCCCCAGAAACCTCTTCCTGTTCTCTTACCTGTGCTCAGATTTCCCTGCCTGGACCTCCCTTCCTCCCCCAACCCTCGTTTGTCTGCCCTGGCATCCCCCAAACCTTCTTTTCAAGATCCTCTCTCTGAAAGGTGAGTAGGAACCGGCGCACATGGTCCTTGCGCAGCTGATCAATGCTGCGGGCATCGATGGCACGGCCCAGGAACTCGTCTACTTCATCCTCAGGGTTCAGGGCATCTTGGGCACCCCGGCTGAGGGCAGGGGACATGGCTTCACCAGGTGCATGAGTATAGCCACGTGAGAGGCAATGAGAAGGGAAGGGCATGGGCAGCACGCAGAAGAGGGAGTATAAACAGGTATGTGGCACTTTGCTCCCAGACATGAAGTCCAGGGGAAATGGAACCTCTGCTCCCCACAACCCTGTCCCAGATGCAGTTGCCTTCCCTCCTCCTCCTCCTGCCTCAGTAGCCTGACTTACTTGTCTTTGCTGGAATCATCAATGCCCTGGAGAAAGAGATAGAGTGTGCAGTGAGAAGAAGGCCATCTGCCCTGCTTCCCCATCCCCAAAATTGTGCTGAGGGTTTCTCCCGTATACTTTGGGGGATTTGGGATCCTTGGAATGAAATCATCCCTTCAGTAACAAAAATCATACATGGAAATGGCAGCCACAAGGAAGGCAGACGAAGGCAGGGGACAGAGAGCCGGGGAGACAAAAAAGTGAGGCCCAGGTCCTGGTGCTGTGGGCCCTCACCATCTGGCGGAATGCCTTGGAGTCTTTGCTCCGGGAGAAGGCCCGGTCAGGCACCCAGCGTGGCATCAGCCCTTCCATGGAGTTGGCCCGCGTTCGCTGCAGCTTGGCCAGCATGGCTTTCTCCTCTTTCTGTGTGGGCAGCACGAGTACAGGCTTAGGAAAGGGGCCCAGAGAAGGTCTCTGCCTGCACCCCTCATTTGTCCTTTGCTCAGCCTGTCCCTCCCCCGACCCACTCTGGCCTGACCCGTTTCTGGCTGGCACCAAGGATCAGGAAGGTCTCAATGTGCTGCTCCTTGAGGTACGCGTTACGCTCACCGCCACGCCCTGGCTCCACCTCGTAGTCCCCGTTCAGGTACTGCAGCGTGGCCCGAGTAATGTGGATGCGGCTGTGCCAGGACAGGAGGGTGAGACCTGGGCTCTCGCACCTTGCTCCCATCCTCACCACCTGGACCCCACACTCACCCAGCCCGGCCCCCTGCCTCCATGTGGTTGGCCAGAGTCACGTCATTGGACCACACATCGAATTGCCACTTCCGCAGACCAAGGACACCGCAGTGCACACGTCCACTGTGGATGCCCACGCGCATGTTCACGTTCACACCTGTCACCTCACGCACCAGCCTAGGAGGAGGTGGCTCTGGCTTAGCTCCTGGCTCAGCTCCTGGCTCCATCTCCCCACACCCAGCCTAGAGCCCAGGCCTTCCACTCTCCTCAGAGCCAAGAGGGCAAGGACACACCCAGATGCAGGGCGCAGGAGGACAGCCTTGGCTGGACGTGAGCAGAAGGCTGCATGGGGCTCAAGGACAAATGTTTGAGAACTCTGTTCACCAGCAGGGCCCCAGCTGCATCTGTGGAACTGAGCTAGGAAAGGAGGAATCACTGCTGTCTCCAGGGGCCTGCTCGGCTGGCATTCTCTCTAGTCTTTATCCCCCTTACCCAGGGTCCCTTTATCTCCTCCTCCCCACTGGCTGGAGTCTAAGGTACACAGGGGTCTTTATACAGGCTGAAGAAAGACCTATCCCCCTCCCCAGTGATGGATCTCAAAGGCAGAGATACTGGCTAAGACTGAGGGAAAACCCTGAGGACATATCAAAGGGCAGAAGCAGTCTGAGGCACCCTCGGTTCCAGAAAGCCTGGGAGGGGGTGCTGCTTACGAGATGGCCTCAATCATGTCCACCCCCATCTCCACACAGCAGTGGGCATGGTCTGCCCGGGCCTCCGGCAACCCTGACACACAGTAGTAACAGTCCCCTAAGATCTTGATCCTCAGGCAGTGATTTTCCTAAAGGGGAAAGTGTTAGGGGAGAGTCACCTTTACTCCCTTGCCCACCTGACCTGCCTGGCCCACCACCCTCACTGCAGACTCTGCCCCCACACCCCCAGGCTGCCACCAATGAGGCTAGGCTCTCACCACAATCGGCCCTGCCCCCGAGCCCCAGCACACTTACTGCAGCAAGCTTGTCAAACCGGGCAAAGAGCTCATTCAGGGTCATAACCAGCTCCTGTGCAGTGCACTGTGATGCCAGGCTGGTGAAACCTTCAATGTCTGCAAACAGGATGCTGTGGAGATGGCAGAAGATGGAAGAGCCACATGGCCCTCAAAGACCCCCCGATTCCCCAGCCCTCTCGGTATCCTCCCAGTCCACCCTACCTGACATTGTCATGCTTCTGGATGTAGATCTTGTGGAACATCATGTCTTCCTTCTTTGTGTTGATGTCTTCTTTCATCTCCATGGCAACGTGCTGGGGCAACACTGACAGCAGCAGGCGTTCCTAGACCAGTGGTTTCAACAGGGTACCACTATCTACCTGGCCTCACATTTTAATCCCTCCTGGTCCCTCCAAATCCCCAGAGCCCTCCCAGACCTCTCTAGAGACCTGAGCTTCCTTTCTGGACTGTGGCCTGATCCTCTCGCATTGGAGCCCTCAGCAGATGGACATCCCAGCCCTCTTTGACCAACCCCCATTCAACCACCCTTCAGATGTATTCCCATCTACTCCCTCCCATCCTCAGACAGGACAGGAACCCGTGTCATAGAGCCTCTGTGATGCACGAGCAGGGAACCATTCCCACTTATTCCACAGAGTAGTATAAGGCAGCGGATCCAACCTTCAAGTTATTTGGGGTGAGGAGGGGGAAGGCCACAGTCAGTGAGAGCAGCCCCACCTGCTGCCGATTCTCATGCTGCAGGTGCAGCCGGGCCTGGATGTACCCGCGGGTCTCCTGAAAGGCCTGGCGCTGAGACACCTCAGCTGGGTAGTGTGTGCAGATGCCAATGACATTCGTGCAGAGGAATAGCAGCATGTTGGCACCGAGCTGCAAGAGGTAGCAGAGGCAGACAGGTGACCAACCCACCCATGCACAGGCATGACTAGTTAGGTTCTGTAAATGTACTCTTTTTGGGAAAGAAGCCAGGACCCTGTGCCCTTGTCTGTCCCCAAGCTGTCCCCACCCCTGCAATACATCTTCCCTATTCCCCACAGGATTCTAGCTCCCTTTCTGGACCATTCCAAGGCTAGAAATGAGATCTTTTCACAGCTCCTGAGAGCAGAAGCACCAACCAGGGCCAGGTAGGTCACAGGCCTAAGCCCAGCATATTATGATTCTCTTGCCCACAAACTCCCCAATCAAAAGACAAATGCTGCTGCTTCTGCATGTGGTTCTCCTTACAGGACAAGGCTCAGGAGACCTGAGCTCTACATCCTCCTGAGGGCCCAGGACAAGTCACCCCATCTCTCTGGGCCTCTGTTCACTCATCTAGAACCTGGAGAGGGAGAATCAGAAGATCTCTAAGGTCCCTCTCTGCCTTGCTATAATAACAATTACTATTATTATTGTTACTGGAGCTAATATGTTTGCTGCCTAGATTCTATAAGTGTCTTCTGTACGGTAACAAATGTATTTCTTACAACTCTATGATATAGGTAACACTATCTCATTTTAAAAGTGAAGAACTCAAGCCCAGAGAAGCTAAGTAACTTGCCCAAGACAATGCCACTGGTAGTGACTGGTATGGTACTTGAGTCCAAGACAGTTGAACTCTAAAGCCTATGTTCTAACCCTACTGTACAGTACATTCCATGTGTCCAAGGCTCCTACTCACTCCACTCACCCAAGCTCTTAAGGGCCAGCCTCAGAGCCCAGGCTTGGGAATCATCAATTCTTCAGACGCAAAGAACCCTTCCTAACTAAAATGGGCCACCAACACTCCTGGCCACCCCCAACTCTTGGCCCAGCCTGGCCCCACACCCTGGGACCCTGATCCCAGGATGTTTAGCTCTCAATCATCATCAGCAGCACTGACTGGAGAGCAAGTCTAAGGGAAGCTGGCTTCATCATTTCTGGAAATTCAGGGGTTAACCTGGCATTTGTGGCTCCACCCAGAGTTGGCTAAGGCAGGGCTCTGGTTTTGGGAGAAGGGAGGGAAACAGCACAAACTGGAAGCCAGGAGTTCTGGGCTCTGCCCAGAACCAGAACTAGTCTTGCAAACTTGGGCAGGTCCCTTAATTTCTGGAACCTCAGTTTCACTTTTCTTGGGTAGGGTGGAGGGGTGGTTCCAGCTAACCCCTAAGCCATTTCCAGCTATGACACTCTGGAATTGGCCTCCCAGTCTCCTTTCCCAGTCCAGCTTACAAGGCCCCACTCCCAGCAGCAGGGGTGAAGAGGGGGGCACACTATCTCCCTCGAGAGTTTCTAAGAATAGCCCCCAGTGGGAGAGAAGAAAAGGGGGGGCAAACCAGGCAACTTCCCTTCCTGGCCCCAGGAGCCCAAGAGGAAAATGTGAGTCATGGTGGAGGGAAGGGGAAGGGGGACAAGAGACTGAAATAGATCTGTACACAGACCCCTATCGGACTGTGAGAAAAAATGGATGCCAGGGCACTACAGGAGACTTCAGGCTGGGCCGGGGTCACTGGGCAAAAGTCTCAGTGTGTCTCAATGAATGGGTCACAGGAGACTGAAGGCTCCTTCCCATGAGCATGAGTGGGGCTGGATCTGAGAAGGGGCTACCCAAGAAGCCTAGAAAGGAGGCCACAACCTCACCCCATCCAGAACCCATAGACAAGCTGGGCACAGAGAATGATCCTCAGCTCAGAGAAGGGGTATGGGCAGCCCTGGCCCCAGGGACTGCACAGGGGCAGAGGCAACGTTCTCTACTCCTCCCAAAAATGTGCCTGCCAGGGCCCACTGGATGAGGCCGCAGCCCGGTGCCCCTGGGGGGATAGGGAGGCTGGCATAGTCCTGACCTCCATGGGGCTTTCTTTCCCGGTCAGGCCCCGGGCCTGGTTCTGGGCACCATGCCAGCTGAGGGCAGGGAAGAGATACTCACCCACCTCTGGCCAGCCAAAGAGGACAACAGGGGAGAGGGAGGTACCACCTCCAAGCTCCTCCTCCCCCAGGAGCACAGTTCAAGTCCAAAGCCCAGAGTGATAGCTTACTCTAGAGGGAAGTAGGGGGCTAGCAGGGGCGGAAGGACCCTGGCCCTTTAAGAGGTCTGACAGTACCCTGCAGCCACGTGCTACACAAACAAAAGAGCTATAAAGTTACTTTTAAAAAGGTACATTCTGTTCCGGGAGCACAGGCCAGGCAGGGAAGGGCATTGGGCCAGAACACCCAGCGTCTCACTCTGGGAGCCCCAGGCAACTTCCTCTTTGTGGGTGGGGCCAGGTGGGCTACTGGCCACAAGCTCTAGGCAAGGCAGAGGCTGGCTCCCTTACACCTTGAGCAAGACAGAGGACTGCACCCTCTAAATCAGGGTGCCAATGGCAGGATCATGAGATGTGCTGGCTTTGGGGGCTGTGCCTACAGCAGCCCCTGAAGGATCAGCTACTCAAAACACCCTGGTCTCTGCTCCCTGGTCAGTGGGATGAGGTGAGATGGCAGACTCCACAAGCTCATGTCTCTGAAAGGGACTTCCTGATACCCCTTCACTGGGTACCATCCCCTGTAGCACTCCCTACACCTCCCTGTCCCAGATGAGAAGGCTACCCTGTTGGGTTCTGCTCATTCTGGGAGGGGGCAGGACCCTAACAGCAACATCATGAGGTAGATACTATTTTTATCCCAGTTTTACAGACTGGGAAACTAAGGCTAGGAGAGGCGAGTTTCATTATCTAGGATCTCAGAGAAGAACACAACCCATTGGACAACCAGGTCCTTCTGCAGTCACGTCTTTCTCACTCAACACCATGCTGTCAAACCCAACCTCACACACCACTGAGAACTCAGAGACAACAGCCAGCCGGGCAGAAAAAGTTAAGGCAGGGTTGCCAGATCCCTGGTGCTCAGTGGGAGCATGGGAGAAGCCAGGATGAGACCAGACCCTAAGACCCTTTTCTTCTACATTCCAACCCCATTCAAACCACTCCCAGCCCGGGTGAGAACTGACCTCACTCATCACCTTCACTGTCCTCTCAGAGATGGCCTTGGTCCAGAAGAGAGACAACTCCTCCCTTGTTAACTCCATCCAAAACCTGTTTGATCCCTCCAGACCTCCACCTACAGCTACTTTTCAAAGATGACACAGGGGCCTGAGTCTCAGGTGTCAACTTAGGACCGGACATGCTAAGGCCTAGATGTAGCTGACACAGCCCTCTGAGCCTGAAACATCACATTTCCACTTCCAGCCCTACGTTATGTCTCTATAGGCTATGTATGTTACATTATTTCAAGAGCCTCAGGCCAAAGAGCTATAGACTGTGACCCACAGTGACAAAGTATAGGCTTGGGTCCTGGAGCCCTCCCTTTCTCAGTAGTGCCCTCCGCTCCAAATGGAGGCCAACCCCTGAAACTTGGCCTTCCGTCACCTGCCTCTCTTCCCTGATATAGCCGGACATCCTTATACCCAGCATCCACCCCTGATTCGCCCACCCTTGATTACCAGACTCCCTTCCCATTCCTGGCCTGGTGCCCCCATGCCTAACTCCCTGACCACCCACCTGCTTCCAGAGGAAGGCATCACCACGGTTGAGTTGCCAGGCCAAGATCAAATGCAGGGTGGAGAGGCCCAGGCCACTGAAGACAGCTGCCCGCATGCGGATGGGTAGGAGAGTGTAGGTGATGTAGACAAAGAACACAGGGCACCAAAGGCCTACGGAGGGGCTGTGGGGGTTGGCTGCCAGGGCACCCCCAACCTGCACAGCTGCCAGGATGCCCAGCACCACATAGCTCACCACCCACATGGAGTCCTGGCGAAAGCTGTGTCGGTTACACACCACCATGAGCACCACAAAGAGGACAGCCGCACAGGCCAGCAGGGCCACATAGGCAGGCTGAGGGTGGGCAGGCGCGGCATGGAAGGTCAGCAGCACAGCCGTGAGCAGCACAAGCACTGCCATCAGCAGCGTCAAGCTACTCTGGTTCATCTGGAAGAAGTACCGCTGGTACAGGCGCTCTAGCTTGGCTGAGCGGAACTGCTTCGACTGGAACACCTGAACCAGACGGCGCCAACAGGATCGACTGCTCCTGGGTGCCACATTGGGTGCCACGTCAGCTGCCCCGAGTGCTGTCGTCTCAGTGTCCTCAAAGCCCAGGGCCACGGCCCGCAGCCCCAGCTCTGTGCCCTTGCCAGGGCCACCCCTCCGGATGAAGGCCTCCTCCTGCCAGGGGCACCGAGGTGGGGTTGCAGGGGTGGGGCTGGGTGGCTGTGCATCCTGGAGGCAGCTCATATAGCGGGGTGCGCAGAAGCCACTGGTCCGAGTCCCATGACGCGGGCGCTTCTGCCCATTGCATTCCCCCCAGGCTGTTTTCCGTTCATCCACTTTGGGTACCAGGAGGCCACTGAACCATGACATGCTGCAAGGAGGAAAGGAGTGAGATGGTATTAATACCACCATCACGGGCTGCCACTACCAGTAGCTCTCACTAACTGAGCACTTCCCATCACCAAGTTCAGTACTTCAGACACAACATCCTCATAAAATGACACCGAGGCAGACGATGGTATCCCCATTTAACAGGTATGGAAACTAGTACAGAGAAAAGTAAGGTAACTTGCCCAAGATCAAGCAGTCACATACGTGTGAGAACCAGGATTCTAACCCAGATCTGTCTGACTCTTCCTTAAAAGGCACTGACTTCTTGGTGGTTACAAACTCATGTGCCTCTGTCCATGAGCAAAGAGACCCCTAGTTCAGGAGAGTGCACACGCTGAGCATAGGAGCAAGCACCACCCCACACCTGTAGATTGTTGCCCCTGGCATCCCAGCAGAGCCTGATCTGATTTTTCAACAGAAATTGGGAAAAAAAAGAAATGTAAATTTTAATGAGACGTCTCCTGATTTTTAAATGTTGGCAAGTAATTCACATTTTTCAACACTGCTAGACAAGTAAATCACATCAGTGGAATAGATTCAGTCTGCAAGATGCCAGACAGTGACCTCTGTACAAAAGGGAATCCTTCCACATCCTTCCTCACACTCACACACACATGCACATGCACTCACACACTACGCACCCTTCACCAAGCTAAATTCAACTTCTCCCTCAGGTCACAGCTTACATGGAATTTCCTCAGGAAAGATGTCCCAGCTAAGTTTGGTTCCTTGTTTACCCGCCGTACATTTCCTCCACAGTACTTATCACAATTATAATTAAATCGTACCGTGTTGAATGTGGGTCTCTACCCCTCCGACTATACATTTTGTGAGGGTGGGGATTATAACTATTTTGCTCAGTGCTTTATCTCCAGCACCAAGTACTGAACTTGACTTATAATGGGGACTCAATAAGTTTCTGTTGAAAAGATAGAAAGCCCACAGGCTTTACTATAGAGCAGCTAACCTGAAATAATAACTAATAATGATAATCCTATGAATTCTTCACCTTTCTCACTGTACTCTGTTCTCTTAGACTCTTTGCTGGTCCCCAGTACACCGTGCACAGGCCAGCATTGGGACCTTGCTGCTTACTGTTCCCTCTGCCTGGAAGGAGAGCTCCTCCAGGTCACAGCTCAAACGTCCCCTTATCGTGAGTTTTCCCTGACCACTCTACCAAAATAGCAACCCCCTTTCCTGGAGCTCCTATCTCTCTTCCCAGCTTTATGCTTTATTTTTCTCCACAGCTCTTATCAGCAACTGCCATTCTATATATTTTTCTTATTTGTTCACTGTCTCTCCTAACTGGAATGTCCACTTCATGAGGGCAAGGATTTTGGCTTGTGTTGCTCACTACTACATCTGCAATACCCCTAGAGTCTAAATCAATGCTCACTGAGTGGGCAGAGGGAAGGATAATACTCCCAATGCACTTTCTCCGTGCTTTAAACTTTTCAGGTCCTTTCACATGCCTAATTCCACTTGATCTTCACCAAAACCACCTGGGGCAACAGGACAGATTTGACAGTTTTATATGGCTGGCTCAAGTTACAGAGATCATGAAAAATCAAGTCAGCTCCAGAGCTCAGGTCTCTTGGAGGGAAGTGTCTCAAACTGGGTGGGAGGACCCCATGATGATACTTTCGATGTGTCTCCTAGCTGAGCCCAGCTCTGGAGAAGGTGAGAATGAGAGCACTGTCATCCACGGATGCCTGTGTCTGCATCAGGGCCACACTCCTCCATGCCCGCAGGGCACCCTGAGGGGATCCTTGTACTTAAACCTGCAGAGCTAGCTGCACTGACATTTGTACTCACTAGGAAACAAGGGGTGAGTACCCAGCACTTGCCCCAGGTGGCCACAGGCCCAGCCAGACAAGTGGCACACCAGACAAGCGGCACGCCAAGTAGACCCCCAGGGGCCTATGAAGCAGAAGGCAGACTGGGATCTCTCTGCACAGCAGAAACCCCGACCCCTGGTTCATCCTCAGCTAAGTACTCTTGGCACTCCTTCTCGTACATTCCAAAGAGCAGCGTGCCCTTCAGCCCCTTAGTATCACCAACAGCACCATCTGGAGGGACAGATCGGAAACCCAAGACTTTGGTCAGACTGGCATTTGCAAAAAGTCACCAAAGAAAGCCTAGCTCTTCAAAATACTTCATTCGGAACATGATTTTTGGAGAGAAACCAGATTTTAAATCTTATGTGGTTATTTGCTATCTTCATGGCCTTGGACAAGTTCTTTAACCTCCCTGAATCAGTTTCTTCATTTGTAAAATGGGAATAGTAACAGTTGTGAGGAAAGAATCTAACAGTACCTGTCACACAGTACATACTCAATAAGTAGTTCATCTCCCCATCCTATGCCACTTTGAACCCAAAACTATGCCAGTGTCCAAGAGATGGAAAGACAGGAAAGTCATGAGCAACAACAGCCATCTCCCCTGTCAGCAGTGTAGTTCTGTCAGTCCCTGTGTCCTCAGCTGTCAGTCTCCAGATCTGCTGGAGACAGAGCCCAGAGTGAGCAGGTTTCCCACCCTCCTCCCACTCACCAGTCCCCTGACCTGTTCTTCCCCTCCCACCACTGGCCCAGACCTCTGTTCCCAAAGGACCTGTTTCTGGCCATGTTCCCAGCCCCCTGGAAGCACATCCTAACATCTGGCTCATACCCACAGAGGAAGGGGCAGACACTATCCAAGGGAATCCATGACCCTCCCAAGAACACTCTGACTCCCACAAGGGGACAGCTTCAGTGCTCTGTAATTGTCCAACCAACTGCAACCATCCCACCCTGGGCTCCACTCCAGGAACTGCCCATCTTGGAGAACTCATCCGATGCCAGGCAGGGAACAGGGAAGGGCACTGTTCAAAGCCAAAAAACTTCCCTACATAGTCCCCCCAATCCTCTTTGTCCAGTAACTCATCACTATAAACCACAGACCACCTCCCTCTTTCCCAGAGACAGGCTCCTGAGCCTGTGCCTCCGACCTCCTCCTCCCCTGGCTCCCAGTCTCTTTGCTCTGTACAGATTTGCTGCTCCTGGCACCACAGGCTCCCACAGCCAGACCTATGTCCATTCAGCCTAGCAAACCAAGGCCCAGTGCCTCCCAGACCTCAAGTCGTTCCTAAACCCTGATCCTCCATCCTGAGACCCAGAGTCTGAGGCAGGCCAAGGCCCAGCCCAAGGATGGCTCTGCCTACTGCTTTGCCCCAACCTCTTTCCTGGCCACCTCCTGTCCATTCTCTCTCCAGGGCCCCTCTGCCCCTGCCCTCCTTGGCAAAAGGAGGCTTCAGGGGATTTAAAACGACTTCAGAAAGTTCATGGCAGAAGGCACTGCCCAGGCAGGGCCCTTCGGTGCCAGTACCACCCACCATGCTGAGACGTGGGCCTCGATTCCAGGCCTTTCCAGATGTAGACTAGCCTTCCCAGGGCCTGGAGGTCCAGCGTCACCTCCTCGCTTCCCTAGCCCTTGGTCTCCCTAAACACTGCAGAAGGCTCGCACCTCTACTTCCAATTACAAAAGCCCCACAAGGCCTGCTCCACCTTGCAGGGGTCTTCTGGCAAGGGGAGGGTATGGGGAAAGGGTCCCACCGCCTGATTCCACCTCTAGCTTTGCAGTCAGGCCTCAGAGACGGTTCTGAATAAAGTCTGCTCCCCCAGCCCAACCTGCAGCGGCGCTGACACCACCCCTTTCATTCCCAAGGTCTGGAGGGAGAGGAGGAGAATTCCTGCAGGCAGAGGCATCGTCCCCTCCACCTAGGCTGCCTCCTCTTCCCCGAAACACAATCACGCTCTACCCCAAACTAGGAGGCTCGCCCCACGGCCCCTCGGTATAAACCTCAAGACAACGCCTCCCCCAGTGCACGCCTTTCCCACAGGTCGAAGCCAGCCGGGAATTTGCTCCGGGGGGAGGAAGGGGCTCGTGCGGCAGGGAGTGAGGGCAGGGAGCCGCGGTACCCCCATCACCTCCCCCACTGCCCTCTTCCAGCCCCAACGGCCTCGAGCTCCCCGAAAGCACTCTCGAGACTCCCATCCCCGCTTCCACGCCTCCCGAAGAAACTCTCGGAACCGGGCGGGAGTCCTCCAGCCGCACGGAGCACCGAGCGCCCGCTCCCCCCGCCACCCCACTCCCAGGCGCGTCTCACCTGCCCGCCGGGGTCG